TTTGAGTGCAGCAGGCCACTCCCTCACCTCTCCTTTGCTGTTGAAGCCCAGGATCTCAAAGCTGATGCTCGACGTTCTTCCCGACTGGATTTCGTGAAGATGCCGGAAGAGGTTGAGGCGTGCTCTGCCCCTCCCGTTGTCTAGCTCTCCTTGTGTCAGGACACCCAAAAGCGTCGACTTCCCTGAGTCCACATTCCCCAGCACAGCCACTCGCAGGTCTAAGAACTAAGGGAAAAGCAACAAAGAAATCGGAAAACTTCGCCACTGCTGTGCTGGTTGGTGCACCCATGCTGCACGGCAGCAGAGATGGGTACCAGAGACTTTCCCTGCACGATGGGCATTGTGCAGCGTAATCTTCTTCCTCAGATTCTGCTCCTTCTCTCAGCAAATCACAGCCCAGGAATTGCAATACACTTTCTACCATTGTGATGTCATACACCAGCCTCTGACATCAGAAAAAAAAAAGTCATTTGTTGCAGCAATAACTGCAAATCCTTCCCTGTTTGCACACTGGGCTGCATCACAACCAGTGCTATAGAAGTGAAATAATTCTCACCTCTCATGCAGGCAATCTCCCCTACTGGAATCTGCTGCAATCGCAATCCTGGAGATGAAAAACGTTGCTCTCAAGCTTCTCTTTGGCAACTCTTTAAAGCACCTGCTATGGGCCAATCTAGGACAAAGCGCCTCTAGGGCTTGGACTCCCATCCCAAAAGGAAGCTGCTTGAATGAAGGCTGTAAGTCTCCAGCAGGAGAGGACGGCTAAGCTGCAGGTTCCTACCTGCTGGTTGTCAGGCACCTTTCGGACAAGGACTTCTGTTATCTTCCTTGGAACGTCGCTGTCGTAATCGACCTCCCTCTCCCGGAGCACTGTGATGTCTGCCCCAACCCTGCCACAAACGCAAAGGGAAGAGTGGGACACGCGTTTTGTACTCAGCTGCCCTCGGCACCTGTAAAATCAGACCTGGCAAAGTGAACGGGCCAAAAGCTGGAAACCGCAGGGCAGAAGCCTCAAGCTTCCAGGCAAGTTGCCCTGCTATTCCCAGAGCCTTGCGCTAAGGGAATTTCAGTCATACAGAGGCTTTGTGAATTGGAGCCCTTAGTTCCCCTCCTCTGCCCCTTGGGGGCCGAGCCTCTCTACACTGGAGGCTGTTTACGCCTGCAGGCTCCAGTGAGGGAAAGGAACACATACTTCTCCGCCATACGGCGCAGTGTCTTGAGCGAGGCACGCATCTCCTCTTCTGAGAGGCCCACCAGCAGCCCGTTGTCCTCCACGCCAATCTGATAGACAGCCTCACCTCGGCCTTCTTGTAGTCGCCACTTCATCTGTGTCACCAGGTGCTCAAAGCGATATTGCGAAGGATTCACTAGCTTTAGCTGTTCAACGGAGGGGGTAGTTAAGAGTCACAGCCTGGGTACACAGGGAATCCCATTGCCCAAGGAAGCAACTCCCCAGCCCAACACCATGAAGCAATGCCCCCACCCCACGTCTTGAAAACACACCTGATGATAGTAGGGTACAAGAACATTCCTGCATCTTGCAGAAGGGATCTGTACCCTGCCTGCTCTGGCGGCAAAGAAACAGCACCATGCGACATATTTGTGATACAGGAACCAAATAACTGTGAACAGCTGGAGAGCCACAAGCAAGTGGCAAAGGATTATCAGGGATACCTCGATATCTCCATCAAAGGAGGAAGATCTCATGAAAAGTACAGTGGGTCTCATCTCCTAAACCAGGTTCCTAAAACAAGCAAGGAGATCCAACTCTTCCAGCTCAGCATACTGAGCATTGCTACATACAGAGACCCAGAAGTAGACAGATAACTCCTTAGTCCAGTGCCTATTTTTCTGTCCCTTTCTTGAACGTGTCCCCCATATGCTGTCTTTGCTGAAGTTACTCACTGCAAAATAATCCTCTGGGAGGAAGACCTCCCTCTGCAAGGCTCAGAAGGCTCACCTTGTACTCGATGTTCCCATCTTCTGCCTAGTCAGAGAATGAAACAAGATAGAAAGGTCAGACCCTGTGCCAACAGGGACAATAGGCACCAGCCACCCAGGCACTGTGAAGCTCCTGCTACCATTTTCAGAGAGAGGGAAAACTGCAGAAACATACAGTGTTAGTCACAGCCTCTCCTGCCATTCATTCCTACATTGTACTGGAACTTACTTTGGGTTCGTTTCTGCTGTTTGCATCACACAGTACGAAAAACAGAGGCTAAATTAGAGTCATTTCTTTTACTGACAGCAAAGGATGAGGCCAGTCTGAAAGTCAGAGAGACTTTCAGTTTCAAAAAAACAGCACAGGCTGGCAGATGATCAGAAGTCTCCACGCACCCCACTCAATTCACATCCCACACTGCCACCACACACTATCCAGCACCTTCTGTCCGCCCAACGTGCATGAAAACAGCTGGCTGGGGGTAAAAGTCGCTGTCTCCTCTCCCACACACCGCTATGCCCTTCATCCAATTATTTTTTCATCGACTCTTTCCTATATCCATGCACATCTACCTTGCAGAGAGAAGGACCTTCAGACATACGGAAGCAAACTACTGACTTGTTTGTAGTACAGCAAAGTAGTCACTGGCCTGACAGTTCTGGAGAAGCAGATACGATCAGGAGCGTCTGTGGACAACATCCTCGGAAGGGCTGCAGTCAGATTGGATTGTCACAGCCCGAAACAGAAAGACTCATTAACTCATCGAGCGCACTCCAACCACAACAGGCACCAACTCTCAGAGAAAACGTATGGCCACTACTGAAGTAACTTTCCCACTGCTTCAGTCCAAGGACCACTGAGAAAGGGCTGGAGCCTGCAGGACACCAAGTACTCTGACAGACTAAACCGGGCTGCCAGCACTGAGCACTTCCCTTTTCTCTAGACACTGATTTGCACGTCAAGAGAGGCAAGAGCCTCTCCTTGCCTTCTAGTTCAGCTCCTAACCACAGCAGAGCTTATGGTGGCAAAAGGCCAACAGAGGGAGGCTCTGAATTATCAGCTCTGCTCTTGGCAGTGAAACTACTCAGTGAGAGAGCAGTACTTGCAAAAGGTTTTCCTGTTACCATCCACCATCCTTCCAGCTCTAAGAGAAACACTGCACGCACATGCAACGCTGTATGTGATAAGGGGGTGGTGGGTCGGTTTCAAGGCAGCCGAGACCAGAAAAGCAACAAGTCTAGACTTGCTGGACCACACAGCGAACAAGGCAGCAGAGGACAGGAAGCTGTGCTGAAGCCACAGGGACCGTCCAGCCTCCAGCTGAAAGGAACAAAACCCAACTGCAGCGGCAGGGGACAGTCCTGCCCGTGGAGCAGTCATCTAACAGCAGCTAGGCCCCGTACTCCCTGCTGCCACGGGGAATTGCTCCCCCTCAGCAGGCTCCTACCTCTTTTACAGGACTCCTGTTGACCGGGGCTGAGCAATCAACTCCGGGGCAGCGCAGGGCTCGCCACAGCGGCGGTCCTATCGGTTCCCCGCCAACTGTCTGAACTAACCAACACGCTACTTATTGCCGATACCGTATTTTCCGGCGGTAAGAGGTGAGCGAGAAGACTGCCTCTCACGTTGTCAGCGCCCTCCGCACCCGGGCGCGAGGGCACAGCGGCGGAGCGAGCCGCGAAGGGGGTCACCAGAAGCTGCCGAGAGGTGTCTAGTAG